AAACTCGGCTCAAAGCACGCAAAAGAACACTCACGGCTTGCACTGTCCACAGCTCTTGTAACCCTGTGCTACGGCGGTCACTCGGCTCAGAGAACGTGCCTTGCCTTGCGGTTGGGCCTTCTTGACCATGCCACAGCTCACTTTGTGAAAAGCAGAGCCACGGCCAACCACCCAGACTTCTTCTCCTTGCGCTCCAGGGTCAGCAGCTCTGTTGTTGAACTCCTCTTGGGCAGCCACAGCAGCTGCTGTTCCAGCACCTTCGAACTCCTCAAGAGCTTCCGTTGAGACTTCACGGTGTGTCTCCCAGTGACGCAGTAGCTTCTCAGAGTAGTCCACGCCATTGGCCTTGTAGAGCCTGTGTTGCCTCACCACTTGAGGCGTCTCCTCACCAAGCTCCCAGTCTTCATCATCATCCGGTGAATCGTCACGAAGAGGTCCACGAACATCATCGCGTTGAGGAAGAAGATGAACATCTCCTTGAGGTACATCTGGATCACCACGCTGAAGTAGATCTGGATCGCCACGTTGAAGTAGATCTTGATCGCCACGTTGAAGTAGATGAAGAGCATCTCCACGACGATCTCCCAGTAGTTCTCCGCCTCCTTCACGTCCAAGGCGGATGCCAAGCTGGAAAGCAAGCCAACCAATCACCACCGTAAAGAAGGCCAGGATGTAGAAGGCGTTCTCCAGGAAGGTCGTGTCCTCAGCGTTGTTGTAGTACTCGATGGTCTCCTCCAGGCGTCTCGTAACCTTAATGTTCTCGACGTTCGTCTCCTCCTGGGTGTGGTCACCATCCTTGGTGTAGGTCTTGAAGAAGGCCTCCGTGTTGACAAAGATCACCGCCAGCAGCAACGGCACCACTACCATGATGCCGAGGTTCCAAGAGGTAAACATGGAGGGGGTGTTCGGATATCGAGAAAAGCAAAGGGCTCCCTCAGCAAAGTTCAAGCCTTCACTCGCAAGCAGAATTGCTAACACACGCCGAGCTGCATGGGAACTAGATTGTGCAATCGATCTTTCTTGGGCATTGCGGATGCATCGCAACTGTGCTGTGCTCCACTCCCCTTCAAACTCTTCGGCACCGATGAGAGTACCATCAGACTGGCAGACTCCTATGAGGTATGACAGCATCCTTGATCTCACCCCACTCATCGGCTTGGTAGCCAAGTCAGGTGGGCAAAACCGAGTGGAGATAGGCTTCAAGCTGAACATGTTGCGGGCCCTGAGGTCCTGCACCCACAAGTAAGCTATGTCAATGTGCTTCAACCTTCCAAGCCCAACTCGGTCAATGAATGCCCTGCACGAAGAAGAATCTACTCGGTGGACAAGGTGCACGTTGTCACTGCAAACGGTCTCCAAGAGCCTTTTGAGAAACAGACCCTCTTGCAAAGAATACAAACTTCCGTGCACCTCGCTCTCGCAGGAAGAAAGCGAGATACTCTTCTGGCGCTTGTTCCCAACATGAATAGCATTGCCGTTGAGGTACACAACTGAGGCACTTATGCTACGCCGATCTGACTCTCCTGCCCACGAAGCATCTGAGATGGACTCTACCAAGTGCCCACTTCCAAAAGGTTGGGAACCATCACCATCCGGGCCTCGCTCAGGACCAAGGTCACCAAGCCATCGTTGCTCGACGGTCCTGCCAGGATTGCACACACTTAGAGCAATGCCACGATGGGGATGTAGCTTGAGATACCTGACAAGATGTTTCAGGAGATGCCATTCATGTTCAGTAGGACAAGAGGTCTTTGCGGAGAGCAACTTGATCGTGTAGAGGCATTCTGGTCTGTCTGGACCAAGATAAAGAAGAATACCTATGCACGTGCGGTAAGCTGCATGCCTCTCAGCTGACAAGGGCTTGTTGGACTTCACATCGTTGGGGTTCATAGGACATGGTGTTTGTTTCCCAGACTCTCTCTCGACACCGACCAAGCTAACCAACTTGTCAACGTGCTTACCATCTTGCTCTATGACAATGTTCCCGTTGATCCCTGTGAACTTCCGCTTCAAAAAGCGACACTCTCCTGACCAAGGAGTACACGGTCCCTCGACACCGAACTGGAGGTCTGCCTCATCAATCTTCTTGGTCAGGCGCTGCACCCGGGCGTCAAGTCCTAGCATTTGAAGATCATCGACGTGTGTGGAAACAAGCAGGCTCTGAGGCTCGTAGAAGAGGGCGGGGGCTCCTTCGAATGCACGCAGGCCGTCACTTTCAAGCACAGCCTTCAATTTTTCATGCCAATCACGTGCTCCTGCTCTCTGTCCTGGTAGGTTGTAATGCAGCTTGTACCTCTGGCCGCTGCTGCTCACGATGTAGGTTTTTCTCCGTTGCTTCACAGTGAGGTATGCATCTTTGATGTCACCACTATACAAACGAAGATGGGGATTGCAGCAGCAAAGTCCTGCCAACA